TTTGTTTGCCGTAAGGCTTGTGAATATGAATATGAATATAATTAAAGAATTTGTCAGAATCTGAATAAAATGTGTTTAAAAACTTTCCCTTTTTCTGTCTTTCTGTTCAATTTAAGTTTTTTCCTCCCAACAGAAACAGAATGTTCAAGATGCTTGACTTAATCAACACAATAACGTTGGATAATGATAATATTAATGATAATAGTTGAACATAATGTATCATATAATCAAGTTAAAAGGATGAACAGGATAAATTGTTTCACTTGAATAAATGTTATTTCATTTCATCTCTTCTTTTCCCAAACAAAAAGAGAAGCAAAAAAAAGGTTCATTTAATAAGCATTTTCATTTTGTGAGTTTATTTTTAGATTTTACTTGAAAAAAGACTTTTTCAATGTTAAGTTCAAGATTAAATATTGAAATTTTGCAGCAAATTCTCGTTTCTTTTGAACCAGATAAAGTTTTTCACATTTGAATTATTAAAGCTTTTACCAATGTTATGTTTTACTTTTATGTTCAAGTCAAGTCAATGAATTTTGATTGGCGATAGTCACTTGTTCATTAATCACATTTCACGTTGATTTTGATTGCATCAAGAAATTGGTTGAATCGCGAAAACCTTTTGGTTTCGCTTATTAACTATAACAATGAAATCTCATTATGAGGTTGAGTTGGTTGATTGATGAAATGAAGTTATCAAAATCATCTGATGAAGCTCATAATCAACACTAATATTGGTTCATTTTTGCGTCTTAATCCATCAAAAAAGGAAGAATGATGAGAAGGGAAAAAAGAGAAGAGCTGAAAGAGCTAATTCCAAGTTCAACTGGGTGACTGTGTTTGCAAGTGAAAAGGGAAACATAATTAACAGTTTCATCTTACAATTCAATTTTGCCCGGATGATTATGAGTATAACAAAAGGAAAAGAGAAACATTGATAAAAATTGAGTCTAAAACAGTTGGCCTTTTCTTTTAGCCCAGGCTCTACTTGTTATTGAATAAAAGTAGGCAAATGAAAGGAAAAGGTTGAAATCAGATGAGCAACCAATCCTCTTACTCCCTCAGGGAATCCTTGTATCATCATCATCATTATTATTTCCAACAAAGGGATGAGTTGAAATGTAGAAATATTAGTGTTGTTCATGGAAAATTCATAACAACTCTAGTTTCAGTTGAAACCTTTTCTCACCCCTCGAGCTTCAACTTAATAAGTATAATTGCCTTGAGCATGATATACTTGAGTAAGGAGCCTTGAAATGTACCAGTTAAGGGTTAGAGTAAACAATGAAATTAGACAAGGTAAACCTGGTAACGGACACCAATCAAATACAGACAACCATAATAAGGCCATCATTAGTCTTTGAGTAGCAGTTACAAGATTCATTCTCGCTGTCAAGTATAAATGTCAAAAGTCTAAATGAACTTTTTTGATGAAAAAAGGCTTGAAATTCCGAACTAGCCTAAACCATGACAGTCAACAATGATTGGCGATATCTTTTAACGACACCAATATTTTAGAGACAAGCTCATACAATCCTTGGAAAGACCGATTCTTTTGAATTGCTGACAGGTAGATGTTGAACTGTAGTTGAAGAAGTTTCATGCATATATAGCAAAGATAAACATAGCTGACTATATAACCTGGACATTAGATTATGACGTCTGCATCCATAAATTTCAATGTATTATTAAAACTTCCATGCAAAAGAAACGATGAATAAGCTAAACATACTGCTCAAAAAATAGATCTTTATTTATGTTCCATATTTTTGTGTTTTTTGAGGTAGGAATACATATTGGTATAAACATCATAAGTTTTCGCGTAATATAAACATTTAAATTGAAAAAGATATGGAGAAATATGATTTTCCACAATTTTCTTATGGGAACTTTTCCCCGTCTTATCGTGACAACGGCCAACATGTAAAATACACTTATGAATGTAGTTTTTGCTAATGATGTTTTTATTTAATACAGTCTTATATTTTTCAAAATTTATTTAATTGCCAAATGAAATATTGAATGCAAAAGTTTGGTGGGTTCATGATAAATATTTTTTTGGCAATCACAAGTAAATGCTGGCTGTAACGATGCTGCTGGGTATGTTGAATTTGCTGTTGATGCTGTTGGCGATTGTATTGATGGTGACTGTCTTGATGATGACGATGATTCTCTGATGATTTGGCAAATTTTGTTTAATGGCGAATTCAATCTTTCCAAAAGTACAATTGGTTGAATTCATATTTTCTGAGGAGCTTCATTCGTTGATTGTTCTGCTGGATGGAGGTTAAAACTTTTTAAAAGCTGTATTTTTGCAAAATTCATAGTCAAAAAATATTGTTAGAGTAAAAATGAATCACAAAATGGCAGTTAAACTGTTAAATGAAGCTTAAAAATGATGTAAAGCGTTAAATTAAACAAATGAATTATTTAGCGCTAAAAAGCCAAAATTTTGCTAAAGCAATCAGTAATCGTTACGTTAGAAAGAAAGTCGATAAATATAAATGCTTGATAATCGTCTCATAGTATTTGCTGTTTGATTGACCAATCAAGTTCTTTAGGACAAAAGCAAATTAAACATTTATTGTGATGAACTAAACAAACTATTACCGGTAAAATAGCGATATAACTAGCTGATTGTTGGATGGAAGTTGAAAGTCTTTAAAATTGAATTTTGAGCAATCCATTGTGAAAAACGTTTTTAAGAGAGGCAAATGAGGCACAAAAATGATCTGATTTGACTCGAAAATGGATATGTAACAGTGATGAGACGAAAAGTTTGATTACTTAGCAATTAAAAGCCATATTTCTATGAGAGGACTAAGGAGTAAGTACTTAAGAGACAATCAAGATACTCGATTATCATTGATTACGATTAGCTGTTTGTTTGACCAATCTAACTACAATAGCTGAAAATTGGTTGATCATGCTTATGATTATTTTTTGCGGTAGATTTTAAATATGTGATTAAAAAATAGCTAAAAAGTTGACGGTTTTCAGCAGATCAATTACCCTCTGTTATAAATCTAGTTCAGCCAATTTTAAGTTGAATTAATCATTGATGCTTTTACTCCATGTGCTTGCTAAATGAAGCTTAGAACTAATTGTGGCTACTGAATGTCAAAAAATTGCTTTCTATTCAAATTTAATGTTAAAACTGGAATTTTGAATTTCGAAATTTCCCTGTGCAGCTTCTGACTCATGGAATATTGAACTCAGACACATACATGATATATTAAATCACGTGTATTGATCTACCTAAACTAAATGTAAGCAATGATGAACAAAAGTATCGATATAAGATTATTACAGTTCAATCCATAGGTTTCAATGGAAAAACGGTTTTTTTCCAATCAACAGTCAAATCATGATGGGTATTGGTCTTTTTACTGTTTTAATTTTTAACATCGGTTAATTGCAGTGACATGTTCATAACCCTCACTCTTCAAAATATAACCGAATTTTTTTCTAAACTAATCGCTTAACCGAACGGTATGGAAACACTCATATCCTCAAGGTTGCATGAGTTATGAGTAGACTATAAGCAGCCCACTCTGGCACACTGTGCTAGCACAAGTTGACCTTTTTCCTGGAAAAAGGTCAAGTTGTGCTAGAACACAGTTCCAGAGAAGGCTGCTGAAGAAAGAGAAGAAAGAGATAAAGAAAGAGACAGGAAGTAAAAACGATTGAAATTCATTGAAGGCCACTTCCAATGAATTTCAATCGTTTTTTTTCTCTATCTCTCTTTCTTTATCTCTTTCTTCTCTTCTCTTCTCATTCCTTCATCATTTCTTCATCATTTTCGATGAATTTTTCACCTTTTTCTTCCTCCTCTCTTCTTCCAACAACATTTTTCTCTCTGCTCTTCTCTTCCTTTTCTTCCTCATCTTCTTCTCTTTCATCTCTTCTCATCTTCATCAATTTCTTGATAATTTTTTCGTCTTTTTCTTTCTCTTTTCCTCTTCGTTTTTCCTCTTCTCTTTTCCTCTTCTCTTCTCATCTCAATTCTTTATCTTTTAGATGAAATTTTCTCCTCTTTCTTTCTCTCCTCTTTCTTTCTCTCCTCTTTTTTTCGCTTCTTTTTTCTCTTCTCGCCTCTTCTCTCCTTATCTTCTCATCTCATCATCTTCTTGAATGAATTTTTCTCCTCTTTCTTTCTCTTTCTCTCCTCTCCTTTTCTTTTATATTTCTCTCTTTTCTCTCTTTTGTTTAACTTTTCCTTTTCTTTCTCTTTCTTTCTCTCTTCAACTCATCTAACTTTTAATGATCAATCAGAAAATGCACTTTTTTATGAAATAAATTTTAAACAATAGATCATTTCGATCAGATCGGGCTCTTCGAGTGACTGTGAGGGTTAGAGAGCTAAAACTTGATATTTATCAATAAATATTTCTCTTTCTTTCTCTTCATTCATCTCTTCATCTCTTCATCTCTTCATCTCTTCATCTCTTCATCTCTTCATCTCTTCATCTCTTAATCTCTTCATCATTTTCTTATTTTCTTTCTCTTTTCTTCGCTTTTTTTGTCTTTCTTTCTCTTCTCTTTCTTTCTATTCATCTTTTCTCATCTCTTTCTCTTATCTGCATCATTTCTTGATATTTTCTGCATATTTCTCTCCACTTTACTCAATTTCTTTCAACTTTTAAACAAATCTATCAAATAACGCACAACTTTTCTCAACTTTTCGAACATTTTACTCAACTTTGCCGGACTTTTACTCAACTTTACTGAACTTTCGCTCAACTTTGACAAACATTTCATAACTTTACCAATCTTTTGACCAACTTTAACAAACTTTTGATCAACTTTACCAAACTTTTGATCAACTTTACCAAACTTTTATCAACTTAGTCAAACTTTTCTAAACTTTAACAAACTTTTGATAAACTTTTCAAACACTTTAAGAAACTTTATTCAATCAGTAAAATGAATGAAAATTGGTTATTATTATTATTGGTTATGAAAAAAACACTCAAGAATAGTTTTTCTTTGTGAAAATTCTAGTTGCGATAGTAAAGATCATCAATGAGTTTGATTATTTGATCACGATCAGCAGTCCTTATGTATCCTTTTTTGATGTTTTCAAGGTACTCTTTTGCATTCTCAACGCGTTGTCGTAATGATTGGCCACCAACACTATAAATATACATAAGTAAATGTATTACTGTTACAGCCTAATGTACATTATAAAAAGTAAATAAACTTACATTTTTGGAGGTTTTCGGGCAAAACTACTTCTCTCAAAATATTCAGATGGTTGATGTTGATGTTGCAATTGTTGTTCTGGTTGCAATAGATGTTGAAGCTGGTGTCGCATTACCGGGCAACAAGTGACACAACACTGATTTCGACAACACTGAGGTCGCACAAATGATGGTGGCACTGATTTGTTTGATCCTGATGGCACGTTTTGACCAATATTCATATCACTCATCCTTGTTTGTGTTGAATGAGTTGATGTTCCAACAATTCTTTGAGCTGGTGCAATATGATTTTGCGGGTTTGCTGAAGATGGTGATTTTAAAATAGAGAGTAAAAACGGTGGGTTGACAGTTAAAAATGGCGAAGGTGAAGGTGACTGGTGAAATGTAAATTGTTGTGGAGGTGGTGGAAGGGGCAATACAGGTGGAGGTGAGGTTGAAATAAAGAACTCTTGTTTAATTTCCATTTCCATTATAAACTCAAAATCGTGAAAAGTTAAGAAAATTTAAAACCAATGTTATCTAGTTGACCAAATGACTTAATATTTTTTGTCAAACTGTTTAACTTTTTTTTGCTCACTAATTTTACTCACTTTTTTACACTTTAACGTATTTGATCAACAATGAAGAAAATTTCCAAGAAAAAGGCCGGGATGCTTTTGACATCTCACCAAGTGATTTAAAGGTGATTTTTCAATGGAATATTTAATGTATCTTTTTATTGGCATTTTTCAATTGAAAGTAAACAAGGCTATTTTTTCATTGAATTAGGTGATATATTAGATTTACGTTGAAAAAGTTAATGTTTTTTTCTGAGAAAACAATTGACAAATATTAATGTCGATTATATTACTTACATTATTACCCTAATTAGGTAATTTCAAACATTGATTATGTTACTAATTTGGGAGATTTTTTCACTGTAAATTCACACAAATCAATGATTAAATTTATTCGCAAGTGACAAAATGATGAAAGTAATATGTCAAAGTGAATAGAGCGTTCTTACATTTAAATTCTGTGTTAATGTATATCATTTAAGTTACACTTGTTAATTTATTACATTTTATTTATGACTTTATAATTAGCTCTTTTGTAAAATGAGTAGAGGTGAGTTAATCATGGAGAAGGGTGAGCATTAGTGAGAGTAATTTCACTTTCTCGAACTCCCTTAGAAAAAAGTATAAAATGAGCAACATTTCAATGTTAAAATTACTTTCTTTTTCTAGTCTTATTTTAGAGTAAGTTTTGGAATAAAAACTCTCCAAATAAGTTCAAGTTAAGGAAATTCCCTGCCTAATAGTAAATCTATCCTGAACTTTTCTCAATGCCATTGTTTGGACCTAACTATTTAGTCTAAATAATTCATAATATTTCATCTTAATCATTCATAGTCTTATTATATTGATTATACTCTCGCTACTAAAATGGATGAAAAAGTAAGATAAATCAATTATTGCTTCTTTTATCTTTATTTTTTGCAAATTATCATTTCAAAAGTATTTTTATTTTTCATTGTTTTAGGTAAAGTCAATACCATTAAGTTCTACTGAAGAATTGATTGATCCTAGGTGTTTCCCGATGGGACTACTTGATATTTTATTGAATCCACTTGATTTGCCTGTTCCCAGATATATTCTAACTAGGAATCAAAAAGCTGCCCTTAGAAAGAAGAAAAAGTTAGCTGATATCAAGAGTCGAGTTGACGGTGATTTTGGAAAAAATATTACTAGAGTAAAAATGTCAAGGAAAAATTGTGCTAGGGCTAAAAGACTTAATCTTAAAGCTAATGAGATTTCAAAATTAGAAATAACCAACAATGATGAATTTCATAAAAATTATAATTTGTATGAAAAATACCGTAGTAAAGCGCAGGCTGAAAAATTTTTTGCTAACAAAAATGAACAATTGTCAAAAATGAAATAATACTTTTGAAATGATAAATCATTGTAAAATTTTTAATTATTTCTAAAATTAAAATATTAATTACTCTTAAAACAATCGTTTATCTTTTACTAGAAAATTAAATGCAATTATTGTAAATTTACTGGTGATTCGGTTGAACAACTTTTCGAACATAACTGTCCAGAATACGATGCTGAAGTTTTCATTCCTACTCCTTCAACTGAAATTGAAGTAACTGAAAATAAGGATACTTTTCACAATCAGCATTATTTCTGTATGTTTTGCGATTACGTTGCTGATAATCCTGACACGTTGAAAGGTCACAAATGCAATCAAATGAGTCAATGGGACATATCACTAACTGACACTTTAAACATGCGTTGTGAGAAATGTAATTACACAGCAACAGATATTGGCGATTGGATCACACATGACTGCATCATTGTAAAAGAGACGCCAGATGAAAGGCTAAATGATGATGATGAAGGCTTATTAACTTGTGAAAAATGCGATTTCAAATCTTACAGTCCCATTTTTTTTGAATCTCATGTTTGTGAAAATGAATTGTGGACTTGTCAATATTGTCCGTTCGAAACATATTCGCTGAAAAAGTTTCTGGAACATAAATGCGCTCTAATGGTCAAACCTTCCGAATACAAGTGTTCAAACTGTCCATTTGTCACGAAAATAGATTTAGATTATCTTTTGCACAAATGTGACAAATCAGAAAGCCACGCAATTGATGAACCTTGCACTTCGAACTGTAATCATCAAACTTATATTGATAAACCAGCGATTTCAAAGCAAGGAACTAAACGCAAAGATGTTGAAGAACACAATACTACAAGCCCTAAAAAACAACCAAAGTATAATTATCATTGTAAAACTTGCGGCAGAGGTTTTGTTCGAGAAAATGCACAAAAGTCTCACTCTGAATGGTGCAAAAATAGGATGGTCATAGAAAGTATAAATCTAAATGATAACATTGGTGAATTTGCAAAGATTGCATCAGCATTCAATAAATTCGTTACTTATGAAAACAGAGCTATTGAGTGCATTGACATTGAGAGTTTGCAAATGTCAGCTATTGATGATTTGACTACATTATTGAATCAATATTTGCAAAATTATAATTGTCTCAAGTTTGAATTGATTGTCGACGCAACTTTAACACATCCAATCAATCAAGATGTTACATCAAGACGCTGCTTCCATTCAATCATGCACTCAATTCTTCTTGGTGACGATATACAAAATACATTGATAACAGCTTTTGCTGAAATTAAAGAGCTTGTTGATCAACACACAGAAAGAGGCAGTGGTTGGACATTAAATTCAATCAAAAGTTTACAAATCAATATTGGTAAATATGTTCCACATCGCGGCGGATGCTCTCAATTCTCACTTCCAATTGAAATGATCAACAAAAAATGTTTAATAAACATAAAAACGCAAGATTCATGCTTTCTTTATTCAGTTCTTGCTGCTTTACATCCATTTACTAAAAATGCGCAACGAAAATCAAACTACACAGCATACATTGACAGATATGATATTACTGACTTACCTTTGGATGGAAATGTTGATTTATTTCAAGCTGTTAAATTCGCTAAACGAAATAATTTTAATATCAATATTTATACTTATGATATTGACGAAAAGTGTGTCATTCCGTTGAAAATCATGGGTGGACAAAAAGATGATCCGATATTGCTGTTTCTCTATGATGATCATTATTATAAAATTACACACTTTGATAGGTTTGCAAGTTGTAAAAATAAACACTCACGACGTCATTGTTATCGATGCTTAAGTGCATTCACAACAACCGAAGCATTACAAAAACATAAAGTTGATTGTTTTAACGCTAAACCTCAACGGACAATTATGCCTGATCCACACAATAATTCATCAAAATTAAGTTTTTATCTCTATCAAAATGAAATTATGCATCCTTATGTTGTTTACGCTGATTTCGAAACTCTTTCAGTGGCAAACGCAGATGAATATCGTGTTCGTACTCTTCCTGTTTGTAGCTATGGCTATGTTGCCATTGATTGGACCGGAAAAATAATTGCAAAAGATTTTTATAGAGGTGAAAAAAGTGGCGAAAAGTTTCTTGCAAGTATTGTTGAAACAAAGCGTAAACTTGATGCAGATTTGGCAGCGCGTTCAAAACCGCTCAATATGACAGATGAAGATGAATTTAACTTTAGAAAAGCTAAAAAATGTTTCATTTGTTCAAATCCACTCCATGCTAATCGAGTTAGAGATCATGACCATCTCACTGGAAAATATCGTGGTGCAGCTCACAATGAGTGTAATTTGATTTATCGCCTTCCTTCAAAGTTACCGGTATTTTTTCATAATTTAAAGAACTTTGATTCGCACATTATATTCCGTGCTTTATCTGAGCCATTAGCTACCGATATCTTCATAATTCCGCACACGATGGAGAAATATATTGCATTTACATTTAAAGACTTCATTTTTCTAGATAGTTATGCTTTCCTCCCGTCATCTTTAGAAACACTTGCCGAAAATGTTACCGAAGATTATAAATCGACATTTTTGAAACAAATGTTTGATGGTGATGTTGATTTATTGATGAAAAAAGCTGCTTTACCTTACGAATACATTGATTCTTTCGATCGTTTTAAAGAGACATCCTTACCAGAAATTGACAAGTATTATTCATCATTAAAAGATGCTAACATCAGCAATGAAATGTATAATCATTTACAAAATATTTGGAACAAATTTGCATGTGAAACACTTGGCGATTTTCATGACCTGTATCTGAAAGTTGATGTAATTTTACTTGCTGCTGTGTTTGAAAATTTTCGTAAAGTCAGTCATGAAAATTTCAATCTTGATCCATGTCATAATTTTTCGATCCCTGGATTATCAATGAATGCTGCATTACGATACACCCGAGCAAAAGCCGGTTTACTCACTGATGTTGATATGCTAATATTTGTCGAAAAAGGGATTAGAGGAGGATTAACCGTTGTTTCAAAACGTTATTGCAAGACTAGACAAGGTATTAATGAAATCATTTATCTTGATGTTAATAACCTTTACGGTTATGCAATGTCTCAGCCTCTGCCTTACGATAATTTTCAATGGGTTGAATTAAAAAATCAAAATATTGATCAACTACTCGCAATGTGTAGAGGCGACACTGGAATGATATTCGAGGTTGATTTAATTTATCCTGATCACCTTCATGATGAGCATAATGATTTTCCATTAGCGCCGTATAAAATGGAAGTAACTGAAGAAATGCACAGTCAATATCAAAAGGAACTATTAAAAAGATTAAAAGAAAGAAAAATGAAGCCTTCATCATCTGAAAAACTTCTCTCAACATTTTATCCAAGAGAGAAATATGTTGTTCATCATAAACTTCTCAAGTACTACATCTCTAAAGGATTAATTGTAACTAAAGTGCACAGAGCTTTCAAGTTTCGTGAAAAAGCATGGTTACAGCCCTATGTCGATTTTTGTACGAAACAAAGACAAGCAGCAACAAACAGCTTTACTAAGGACTTTTGGAAGTTAGGTGTTAATTCAATTTATGGTAAAACGATTGAAGACAAGCGCAAACATCGGCGTGTTCAATTGGTTTTTAAGGAAAGTATAGCTCTGAAACGATTAAGATCTGAATTATGCGAAAGTTTCACTGTTATTGGCGAGGATAAAATGCTGTTTCAACTCAAAAAAGGTGCTGTCTACATGAACAAGCCTGTATCTGTTGGTTTTGTTGTTTTAGAGCTAGCTAAACTTAAGATGTTTGAACTTCATTATGATCATTTTAAGGCTCGTTTAGGCAATAATGTTGAACTTTTATACACTGATACTGATAGTTTGATCTACAACATCAAGACAAATGAAGGCTCAACTGTTCTTAAAGAATTTTCAGATATCATG